ACTCAACAGACAAACAAGTTACATTAATCATAATTACAGTAACAAGTGAGCAAACAATAACGAGGGTTGGGGTTCACCTACCAATACAATACAAAGAAGATTACATAACGTCACCATTCTTTTACAGTATAAGGTTACGAAATTTCAAGCCCAGTACACAATGTTATATCCGACACACAATGTTATATCCTACACCCAATGTTATATCCGACACACAATGTTTTATCCTACACACAATGTTATATCCTACACACAATGTTATATCCTACACACAATGTTATATCCGACACACAATATTACATCCTATACACATAAAATAAAATATCTTATTTCTCCTCCATTTTCTTTGACTCACACACTCAACAATATAATGTATACTCAAGTTAAGGTTTTTTCTATGTGTTGAATTCCTTCCACCGTTTCCACATTCCTCAGCCACGTCAAACCTGGTTCTTCCATGTCCAGTTTACTATGGTCACCACATCACTCTTTGGCGGGAATCTACAACCAATCAGTCATCAGGTTTCCAGAGGCGCCATGAAACATTAGGAGATGTTCTTATTACCACCATGCTATTGTACTATTCCAGATGTTACTAAATGTTATATAATACTTCCTTGAGATAAATGTATAGTACAGGGTATATATCAGGTGCCTAAACGAGAGCTCAGGTTCTCAACTGGCTCAGCCATGTTAATATTGTTATTATTATCCACTCTGTATCTGTGTTTTTCTGGCTAAATAAACTGTTTCAATTCAATTCGTTGCTCAACCGAAACATCGATGTGGATAAAGCCGTCTCCACTCTTTCTTGGAGAATATATGGGAAAAGGAGGAAATCCCCAAAGCTCTTAAAGATGCCTCCATTCTCAATATTTATAAGAGCAAGGGAGTCCGGTCAGACTTTGGCGACTAACGTGTGATCTCGCTGCTCTCCGTAGCTGGAAAGATTATAGCCCAAGTCCTCCTAAACAGACTTCTTCCTAAGGCGGAAAACTTCCTCCCAGAATCTCAATGTGGCTTTAGACCATCACGTGGCACCGCTGACATGATTTTTGCTGTCCGTCAGATACAGGAAAAGTGCAGCATAAGACGACTCCAGGTAAGAACAAAGGTGTCCGCCCTAGATGGGGCCCACCTGTGCAACAAATGTGGACGACGTTGCCGGTCCCGTATTGGGCTCTTTAGTCACCTCAAAACTCACCAACCTAGGTGACATCCCGAATAACCCATATCATTTTACCATAGCTGGATGATCGTCATACTCAATTCCGAGTGACAGAAAATTAGTAAGTAGTAGTAATGTACCGTATAGCCGAGACTTTATCCTTTTCGCCACTGATCTCCTCGTTAGCTGCTGTTGATAAGTTCAGGATATGCAGTGGTTCCAGAATATATCTGGTCAAGTCTGGTCGTGATTGAAAGAGCTCACACTCGGTGCTATCACGAACTCTCTGGCAGATTGTTCCAAGAGTTCACAACCTTTGCTCCAAAAACTTTGCCGTAATAGTTTTCTGAATTTTTGGCTTTTTCAACCTTAAGCTATGACCCCTAGTGGGGCGGGCATACCCCAACTCCAGGTATGAATACACGACTGAGTAGTGTCGTCTGAGCCTGAGGTGTTTATGAATTTCAATTAAGTCACTCCTTGCCCGCCTGTAAGCAGCTAAACAATAGCAGGCGTTCTACTCTCTCTGCTTACCTGAGGTACCGTAGTGCAGGCACTACTTTTCTGGCCATCCTTTGGACACTTTCAATCAACTGATTGTCTCTAGCATATCTCGGACCCTAGACGGCGTGACAGTACTCCAGACGGGGAAGCACCTCACTGTATGTATATATATATATATATATATATATATATATATATATATATAGTAGGGTCATTACCTATTACCTGACCATTGTGGACTTGATCTCACCCTCCTCTGTATCTTTGTATATACAGTATATACATTGTTTTGTACTTTTCCTTAGTTTGTACTCACCCCTGAAGATGTGAATTACACGAAAGCGCTTGGGAACTTCGTGTTTTCTTCTTTCCTTGTGGTTATCAGCATATACCTAGATCACGCGCACCTACAGTGATTTACTTGCATATATATATATATATATATATATATATATATATATATATATATATATATATATATATATATATATATATATATATATATATATATATGATAAAATCACACGGGAAAAGGGAAACATAAATTTTTTATCAGTGGCCCAAGGTTAAAAATGCTTTGAAAACCTTGGATCTAGATGTATGATAGTTATTTAGTGGGTCCCTTATTTTGACCTGACCTGACTAGTCACGTCGCCCCCTTCTCTCAAGCTCCTCTACGTGTGTTGGTGGGATTAGTGGATGACCTCCGAAACAGAATTCAAAACTTCCAAGAAGCACACACAACACCAGCGGCCACTCTAACCCGAAAGGCCCAAACAAACCACATTCACCACCTTCTCCGGGTCATCACACGATACCCACCACCCAGATAGCACCTGGGGCGTACCAACGGTAAGGAGGCGTACCATATGTCCCAACGGGATGAAGAAAATGTACTAGTTGAGACTGTGTGTGAGAAGGACCTAGGTGTGTATGTTGACAATGAGCTGAAGTTCTCGGGCCATTGTGAGAAGAAGGTAAATCAGGCAAATAAATTATTGGGTCTTATAAGAAGGTCGTTCAGATATCTAGACGGTCCGTCCCTCGTGACGATCTTCAGGAGTGAAGTGCTTCCCCATCTGGAGTACTGTCACCCCATCTGGTCCCCGAGATATGCTAGGGACTGTCAGTTGGTTGAAAATGTTCAAAGGAGGGCCACCAAGCTGGTGCCTGCACTTCGGCATCTCAGCTACCCTGCGAGATTGGAGCGCCTGAACTTGCCTAGCTTATACTACAGACGGGCAAGGGGGGACCTAGTTGAGGTTTATAAGCATCTCAGGGGGCACTACTCAGTTGAGTGTCCTTACTTGGAGCTGGCGGACGCTCGCCCCACAAGGGGTCACAGCTCAAGATTGAAGAAGCTGCAAGTCCGGAAAACCGTGAGGGCAAACTTTTTCGGAGTGAGGGTTGTAAACTCTTGGAACAATCTACCAGAAAGTGTTGTGACGGCACCGAGTGTGAGCTCTTTCAAGAGAAGACTTGACCAACACTGGAGCGGGTTCAGGTACATTCAGGAGCCGGTGCATGCCCAGTATTTGCCAACAGTGCGTGACAGAGACGTGACCGATCGCCCGGGCGGCTAGCGAGCCGACCTTTTGGTGAAGAATATAAAGAAAAGAGTCGTGACCGATCGCCCAAGCGGCTAACAAGCCGATCAGTGGCGAAGAGGATAAAAGTAAAAGTGCGGACCCCAGTTCGGGGGGGCGCGCCACTCCGAAACTGACCACGTCCAAGATTGGGGGTTGGTGGTAAGCGTCCACTGATCGGGGGTCCGCTCACACTTGCAACCTGCAATATCCTTTCATATCTGCAGGTAGGACAACCTCCAATCCCAAATCTGGTCTGGCTGCTCCAGGAGCTCCAGCCGGAACCACCGTAGGCCCGTGTCGGCCTACGGTCAGACAATCTCAACAACAACAACAACATGTAATCCAGTTGCCTCTAAAGATGTCTTGAATAAAGACGAAAGCTAAGGTGCTCCGTTGTTTCCATTTTCCCGTGTGATTTTATCAAGATTTATCTTATCCACTTTTTCATTGTGGATCTACTGTACATGAAAAAAAAAAATATTTATATAAAAATATATATATATTTATATATATAATATATATATATATATATATATATATATATATATATATATATATATATATATATATATATATATATATATATATATATATATATATATATATATATATATATATATATATATGTATATATTTTTTTTTTTTTTTTTTTTTTTTTTAGTTGCTCGAATCACCTTCTATCAATTGCTCCAGAACTTCAGATCGTTGTCAACATACACGCCCAGATCCTTTTCACATTTGGTCCCCGTCAATACTGTTTCTTCGTCCTTGCAGGGGCGGATCCAGGAATATCAAAAGGGGAGGGGGGCATATTCTGGCCATATTGAAACCATGTGTAATTGACATTAGGAAATATTCTAAGGTAAATGGTAATTATTTTTTACTCTACAAAAGCACCTGTGTACAATACTGTCTTGTGTGTGTGTGTGTGTAGGTGTCGAGGCCTTATGTATATGTATGTGTGTGTGTGTGTGTTTAAATGTCTCAGTTAGATATGTTTTTACTTCTCTGGTCAGAAAAACAAAACAAAACATAATTAATGCGGTCTTCTTTGAGCCACAAGACGGACATGTCAATTATAAAGTATCCGGTTACTTTTTTATCTTCACAACTATCTAGGCAACCTTATCTTAACCGAAAACTTGTATTCATTTTGTCTCTTTTTGCATACACGGCGGTCAAAGCGTGTTTATAATTCTATCACTTTGATTCCTCGTTTACTTTAGCTATTTTTGCTGATATTGTTCCGTCTGTGTTACTGGTGTCACTGTGTGTACTGTACGTCAGGCATTAGGGTACAAGCTGCTTTAACACCGGTTATCATTTGTTATCTGAGAAGAGTATGTACAATTGAGCTATTATTTAGTATTTGCAGCAAGTTAGTTAAGGAACTTAAGTGTCTTTTAACTAATTAAACAAATCGTTGTCTTAATCTCAGATGAACAGAAGATGGATTGATATTTGAATGGCCTCATTATTAACGCGTTGGTAGATACAACCACCATGCTGGAAATATACTTATATAATCAAGCTTCTAATAAGGTAACATCACCAAGACCTTGAGTGATATAAAATTTTAATAATATTTTAAATGGCCCTCTTACTGTATCATGTTTTAATACGTTAATAGACATTTGAACACGTTGCCAGGAGTATATGATGGGATGAGGTATAAAGACTCTGTGATAGGGAGGAGGGTGAGGCGGGTGATGCTCCCTTGGCTCCTCGCCGCTGTGTCGCTCTCTGGTGTCTATGATGGTGTTCGTAAACATGGCGTCCCACAAGTCGCTTACGGACGACGACCTTAGAAAGAAATTGAAGGAATATGGCATCACATCCTGTGTCACAGCAAGTACAAGAAATATTTTAATCAAGAAGTTAAACCACGTCATAGCGAACCAGAAAAAGACGTCTACAGCGAAAAGTAGAGCGAGAAAAGCCTCCAATACGAGCCAGCTTAATACATTCAGTTCTGACGAAGATGATGATAACGATTCTTCTGTCTGTTCACAAGCAAGTAGATCAAGTAGGTTATTTAGAAATAGAAGGGGGTTAAGGGGGAACACAGATACAACTTTGAATGCCAGAAATGAGAGCAGTAGTGGTCCCCAGGTGAGCAGAACGAGTGGGCGGCAGATCAGTGAGGTGACACAGGTTGGCCGAGACCCTAATGTAGGGAGAGTGTCAGTGTTGTCTCGTAGTGATGCTTGTGGTGACCCCTCCCCCACACGCAGGACCTACTACCCAGTGTCTGCACGCTCCGGCATCAGTCCTAGAGCCAAAATTCATGACGAATATGACACTGGCTCAGACTCTGATCTGGCAGACGGCGATGATGCCAATGACACGTCCATGAGAAAGAACCAGACGTCATATGTGTGGAACAATAACCAGGAGAGTGATGTACTGCCTAACAATAATTCCTACAAAGCCAACTCGTACCAGAATCACACTTCGGGTATTTCTTCATCTCATCAGACTCGGCTGTTTAATACGTCGGACGTTATTGCCAGGAATAGAAAAACTTATTTAGAAAATGGAGAATTTGATGATAGAGATTGTTTGGAGGACGACTCGAGCTTTATGGGTGTTGAGGAATCAATCGTGAGTCGGGCGTCTCCTGGCAACCACGAACAGGTCCGAATCGCTAACGGTAGACACCACAGTGAGTCGAGCGCACGCCTCGATCACTCGCACAGTGACGAGAGTACGTGGCACTACTCTGTGCCGCTCTTGTTATTAATTCTTCTTGCGGTTTTCTTCGGTGTGGTCGGCATGATCTACGTCAACATGCGTATGCCCCTCCTACCTACGCTACGTTCTGTGCCTGCCATGGTCCACCAAGCCGTGGTTAATGTACCTGTGCCTTTTCCCACTTCCACTGAACCCAAGAAACAACCCAGGCGCATGGTTCTGCCATCACATTCATCATCATCATCATCCAAAGTTCCACATCGCACCACAAAAGCTCCACTGCCTCCTGAGCCTGCACCATCACACACACCAGGTAAGACTATTATTGTTTGTGTCAACCTGCCCATTAGTGCTCGTGGGGGAAGGTAGGAGGTGGAATTATTGGTATTTTTGCAGTAGTTCACACAACATTCCTCCCCCAAATCTATTATCATATTAAAAAAAAGACTTCTAATTTTAAGATAATTTTCATCTATTACATTACCTCTGGAAACGTATAATTGCGGAGATAGCGCATGCCAGATCTTTCTCTATTTTCTTCCATTAATCTTCCGCCATTATCACCTACCTCACCTCCCACTCAGCGTTTTTCCTTCGTAAATCGTCATGCGCGTGCGTTCCCGTACACGTCACGCGGCTTATCAAAAGCGTTTATTTTTAATATTTTGCCACCAATTAAAATGAATTGTGGTTTAATTCGTGGTATTTTTTGCCCAATCAGATTCGATTGTAATTTTGGGTCTCCCATATTTCAAAATTCAAATTCATTTCCGACCATGGAAGTCTGCGATGGGTGTCACTTCAATTATATGGCGTTAATTGCGCGTTTTTGGGTAAAACGAACAAGCAACAGCATTTTTTGGATCTCATGGTGTTCTCCCGACCTCAGTAAAGTGTCCTAAGTGTAAGAGCGAATGTAAATATCGTCAAGACCAACATAGTTGGCATCAGCCACCTGTACTGATTCAGAATCCGACTCCGAACCAGAACCAGGCCATATTAGGTAAGAAATACAGGATTCCATCATATGGTGATACTTTGGTTAGGCTAGATAAGGTTAGGTTAGGTTAGGGCAGGTCAGGTCAGGTCATCCAAAAAAAAAAGGTTTGGTTATTTGTTTTTTTAGTGTATTTTATATTCACTTGGCCAAAATTTTTGTCGGAAAATGCCCTACCCAAAACCCCCGATAACTAAAAAACAGTAAATTTCCGTCGGAAATCAAGGTCAGAACCAGTCAAAACACAAAAATACACTAGAAAAACATAGCTTTGACTTTCTAATAGAGTTGTGTAAACTACTGCAAATTTACTGAATTATTTAATGGCATATCTACTGCCACTCTTTGCTGTCAAACACAAATCAGCTATCATAGTGAAGTTAGAGGTATTGCACAGAATTGTGGTTCTCCTGGATTTGAAAAATGGTAAAATTATCATTTTGGTCATGCACTTATTTGGAAGTAGGTCAGAATCGATCAAAACCCATAAAAAACTGTCGGGGCTAAAAACATGATTCCAACTTAACGTAAACTTAAAATTCTCTTCATGACCGAAATGATAATAATACTGAAAAATTACTAAACATATAAAAAGAAAAAATGGTAAATATTCACCCATTGGCTGTCCTCAGGTTTTGGTACAAGAATAGGTTTTTATGACATTTGTCGGTGTTTTATTCAAATCTGACATTCATTTCTTTTGCAAATTAGCAGATTTTGCAAAAAAAAAATTAACATTTTCATTTTTAACATAAATGGCTAATTTGCAAAAAAAATGGAGGTCAAATTTGAGTAAAACACCAAAAATAAACCCCCAACCTATTCCCATATCAAAGGAACCAACCAACCTAACCTACGAGGAGGAGGTAAGGAGAAGATAACCGACCAAGTGAGGAGAATGTACAGTGGGGTATGCTATAACGAATCTAATTGGTTCTAGAACCTTGTTCGTTATAGCATTCGTTCGTTATAGGATTAATCCATTCCAGGCCCCCAAATACAACCACTTAACACTGAAATATATAATATAAAATTGTAAAAATTGTAAAAAAGTACATAAATATGCATTTAAACCCCTGAAATAAAGAATATCATTAATACTTGTAATAAAAAAACATTAAATTAGTATAAAAAAAATAAATAATAATGTTCGTTGTAGGAGTTTCGTTCGTTATAGCATTCTCAATTTTATAGGTAAAATCATTCGTTATAGGAATATTCGTAGTAGAATCCATTCGTTATAGCATACCCCACTGTACAACCTCAGGTAAACACGGAGGGAACCTGCGGACAGCCAATGGACGAATATTAACCAAAGAAAATGAAGATGGTACAATGGCGATGTCACTAATGTGCTTACCTCACACTACAGCTGCTCCCCGACTTACGACGGGGTTAGGGACCCAAATCCAGGTCGTAAGTCGAAAATGCTTAAATAATACATAGAAAATCTAAAATGGGTGTCTCTTTTTCTTCTCAGCAACACAAGACTCTCACTTTTAAGATTGCCAGCCATTTTAAAGTGATTTACAAACGAAAATTTTGTCAGTACACATCGCAATCACTGACGTTGGGGTCTCGAAAATACTTAATTTGTCAAAATTTTGGTACAACTGAGGCGGTCGTAAGTCGGGGAGTGGCTGTATTCTGTATTATTTCACGTGTTGTCACTAAATGAATCTCGTAAATTTTATTAGTTACAATTGGTAATTTTGACAATTCTAAGACACTTTTCTTCGGTAGCACTTCTGGCACTAATTACACATAAGCGAGATATTAAATTTTTTATTCTGTATGTACATATGGGGCGGTACACACCCAGAACATCGAACGACTGTGGACGCAAAGGTCTCCTACTGATGTAGAGGATAAGGTCTCCTACTGATGTAGAGGATAAGGTCTCCTACTGATGTAGAGGATAAGGTCACCTACTGATGTAGAGGATAAGGTCTCCTACTGATGTAGAGGATAAGGTCTCCTACTGATGTAGAGGATAAGGTCTCCTACTGATGTAGAGGATAAGGTCTCCTACTGATGTAGAGGATAAGGTCTCCTACTGATGTAGAGGATAAGGTCACCTACTGATGTAGAGGATAAGGTCTCCTACTGATGTAGAGGATAAGGTCTCCTACTGATGTAGAGGATAAGGTCACCCACTCCGATGTAGAGGATAAGGTCCCTACTGATGTAGAGGATATGTCTCCCTACTGATGTAGAGACAAGGTCACCTACTCATGTAGAGTGATAAGGTCTCCTACTCATGTAGAGTGATGAAGCGTCTCCATTGATGTAGAGGTGACAAGGTCTCCTCATCAGATGTAGAGGATAAGGCCACCTACTCATGCGTAGAGGATAAGGTCACCTACTGATGGAGATAGCCTCATTGATGAGGGATAAGGTCTCCTAATGTGGAGGATATGTCCTCCCATCGATGGAGGATAAGGTCTCCTACCATGTAGAGGTGATAAGGTCTCCTACTGATGTAGAGGATAAGGTCTCCTACTGATGTAGAGGATAAGGTCTCCCTACTGATGTAGAGGATAAGGTCTCTACTGATGTAGAGGATAAGGTCTCTACTGATGTAGAGGAGGCTCACTCATGTAGAGGATAAGGCCTCAATGATGTAGAGGATAAGGTCTCCTACTGACAGAGGATAAGGTCTCCAATGATGTAGAGAGGATAAGGTCTCTACTGATGTAGAGGATAAGGTCACCTACTCCCAGAGGACAGGTCTCCTTACCATGAGACAGTCTGCTACCAAGTAGAGGATAAGGTCTCCTACTGATGTGAGGTGATAAGGCTCCTGCGGGGAAGAGGATAAGGTCTCTACTGGATGTAGAGTGATAAGGTCTCCCAAGCTGTAGAGGATAAGGTCTCCCTCATGTTGAGGATAAGGTCTCCTACTGATGTAGAGGATAAGGTCTCCCCATGTAGAGGATAAGGTCTACTACTGATGTAGAGGATAAGGTCTCTCTCACATGAGACAAGGCCCTACTGATAGAGGATAAGGTCTCTCATGTTGAGGATAAGGTCTCCTACTGATGTAGAGGACAAGGTCTCCCATGTAGAGATAAGGTCTACTACTGATGTAGAGGATAAGGTCTCCCTACTGATGAAGAGGATAAGGTCGCCTACTGATGAGAGGAGGGGGAAGGTCTCCTACTGATGTAGAGTGATAAGGCCTACTGATGTAGGAGGATAAAAGTCTACTGGATGAAAGAGGTAGGTATCTGTTTGATAGAGATAAGTATTCCATTGATGTTGAGGATAAGGTCTACTAACATGCAGAGGATAAGGTCTACTGATGTTGAGGATAAGGTCTACTAATGATGTAGAGGATAAGGTCTACTGATGAGGATAAGGTCTACTGATGTAGATGATAAATCACTGATGTAGAGGATAAGGTCTCCTACTGATGTAGAGGATAAGGTGTAACAATGATGTAGAGGATAAGGTCTCCTACTGATGTAGAGGATACATTCTGTTTACGAAAGAGGATAAGGTCTCCTACCGATGTAGAGGATAAGGCCCACTGATGAAGAGGATAAGGTCTACTGATGTAGAGGATAAGGTTTCCTACCGATGTAGAGGATAAGGTCTACTACTGATGTAGAGTGATAAGGTATACTACTGATGTAGAGGATAAGGTCTACTGATGTTGAGGATAAGGCTAGTTCATTACTGATGTTAGAGGATAAGGTTTCTCACTGATGTAGAGGATAAGGTCTAATACTGATGTAGAGTGAGCAAGGTCTAATACCGATGTAGAGTGATAAGGTCTATCATCAGATGTAGAGGATAAGGTCTACTACTGATGTAGAGGATAAGGTCTACTGATGTAGAGGATAAGGTCTAATACTGATGTAGAGGATAAGGTCTACTGATGTAGAGGATAAGGTCTACTGATGTAGAGGATAAGGTCTACTGATGTAGAGGATAAGGTCTACTACTGATGTAGAGGATAAGGTCTACTACTGATGTAGAGGATAAGGTCTACCACTGATGTAAAGGATAAGGTCTACTGATGTAGAGGATAAGGTCTACTGATGTAGAGGATAAGGTCTACTACTGATGTAGAGGATAAGGTCTACCACTGATGTAAAGGATAAGGTCTACTGATGTAGAGGATAAGGTCTACTGATGTAGAGGATAAGGTCTACTACTGATGAGGATAAGTCTACTACTGATGTAGAGGATAAGGTTCTCATTGATGAGTGATAAGGTCTCCTACCATGTAGAGGATAAGGTCTCCCCACCATGTAGAGAGGATAAGGTCTCCTACCTATGTAGAGGATAAGGTCTAATACTGATGTAGA